CTCACGCCGGACGCGTGTGCGTGCGTGCCCAAGATCCCAAGAGGAGAACGGAGGAGAAGGGATTGCGGCGTGACCATCTCCCCTGGGGGGTGATTTCTCGCTTTCTGTCTCTCTGTCTCTGTCTGTCTGGTGAGTGCACACACCCTATAGCAAAAACCTCTAAAAAAAAAAAGCAATAAAATTAAATAAAGAATTCATTTTTTAAAATCTACATATAAGTAGACCCACAGAGTTCAAATTCATGTTGTTCAAGGGATGTGTGTATGTTATGTGGAGTTTTTCCAATTATCTAGCCCTGTGTAATTGCTGAAGATGGTAACAATGGAATAATTCAGTCTTTTTTTAAAAATTGTCTTTATTTTTATTTATTTATTTTTAATTTGACCAGAGAGGAACAGAGAGAGAGAATGAGAAAGCAAGCTGCCAGGTCTGGGACTCGACCCACTGTCAGCCATGTGGGAGTCCAGCGCCCTTAACCACCATGCCACCTGCCAACCCCTCAGTCTTTTACTTTATAGTTTAAATGATCGCTGAGACTTAATTATATGATGATAAGACTTTGGGAGAAAGGTGAAAAGCAGGAAAAGGCTTAGAATCATTGGTGCCAAACTGTTTACTGAGTCCTCCCCGGTTTGAGTTTGCTCAAGTATTATGTAACTCTTGATGGGAGGAAAAGCATATTAGTGGAACTTAACGGTGGTAGATTCTAAGCCAGAGGAAATAGCTAAATGGATTACCACCACCCTCCCCCCCCCCCCACGGCTCACTAGAAAGAGAGAGAGAGAGAGAGAGAGAGAGAGAAATCACCACCTCAGGATGATGGCCATGCTGCAATCCCTTCTTTTCCATTCTCCTATCAGGGTTTTGGGTGCACTGATGTGTCTTTCAAATTGCAGTTTCCAGGACTCCAACCACTCTGTCAGTCATGTGGGATCCAGTGCCTTAGCCACCATGCCACCTACTGGTCCATTTAGGACTTACAAAAAAAAACCTCAGACATAGAAGTCAGCCAAGAATACTGTACTTTGGCTAGTTTGGGTTGCTGTGGCAAAAAAAGAGAAAGAAACTTAGGCTGCCACATTTACCAAGCTATGGCCTTCTATTAAGGAAGGGACATGATGCCAAAGAAGAACTAGACAGATCCTCCAACTAGCAAGGAGCTATTCAAAGAGCCAAGTGACATGTGGATTTATTCAGAGACCCCGGGGAACCATTGCTGAATGAACTTTATACATTAGTGGCCAAGGAACCCTTTTCCTTCTATTAGGTACTATCAAATTGTGCCTTCGAATAAAAGGGTGTACTTGGTCTTGATAAAGATCTTTAATTAGCTGCAATTCTTGCAGAAGTGTTTGTAGAGGGGCAAATTTCAAGTTGGCTTAGCTGGGCAAGGTTGGAGTACATACAACATACCTCATAAAGGGGAACTGTCCAATTCCACTCATTGTAGTAAATTAAATACTCCTTTGAGGTAACTGAAATGCTGAGAATGCAAGCACGCACCTGTGAACTGGTTATATGATGATGCAAGGTGTCATCATTAACAATTGAATGCCTAATTTAATGCTTTAGGCTTAAGTAATGACTGATGCTGTGTTAAGAGGGTTTCCAACTGCTTGAACTCTTTTTTTCTTTCTCTTTAATTGGTATGGAGAGTGTGTGCTTGCCAGAGAAAGGGGAACTAAGAAAACACTCCCTTAGGGAAATGGTCACATTGCAATCTCTTCTCCTTTATTCTCCTCTTGGGATTTTTGTCATGGATGCACACTACCCTGGCATGTTTTCGAAGCCGCCGGGTCCCGGATTTGAACCATACAGTCTGCTCTCTGGGATCCAGCTGCCTTAATCACTGGGCTGGCTACATGGCTAGCCCAATAAATGAATATTATGTTTAGACTGGGACCCATCTTTAAGATAGCTCAGTTTTTAGACACACACCAAAAAAATCTGAATTCCCAAGCATACCAGGTCCCAAGATTTTTGATAAGGGATACTTAACCTATATTCTGTCACTGAATTGCTTCTTGATTTTTAAAAATTCCTATTCCAGAAGAAAGTCAAAATAATTTTTAATTTATGCGAAAAAGCCACCAATGTATATGTAAGGTGCTCCCATAAGGATATTTAAATTCACCTGCTTATTGTCACAACCTAATGAGTTAAAAACTTAAATTTGATTTAACTGGGAAGTTCTGTATTTCATTATATTGATAATGTAATGTCAACCTCTTGATCCAAGTATCCAGTTTAGACTGAATCGTAAGTGCTGGTTAATCACCTGAGAAGGGCTGATTGACTGAAATACAGGGCCTAGCATAAATGGTAAAATTCTTAGGAATTACTTGGGTTAATGCCACTAGGAACATTTCCAAATGTACAAAATTAAGCTACTAGCTACAAGATGGAGACAGGAGGCACAAAAATTGGGTCGGCTTCTTGGTTCTTGGAGAAAGCATATACCAGGGTTTGGAAATCTGCTACCAGAGTGAGATGGGGGGTGGATTATTTATTGTCAGAGGGCACATGTACTTGCCAGAGAGAGAAAGAGAGTTGCTGGGCATCCGAACCCTGAGATTGTATGCCCCCCCAAAATCAGCTGGACAATGGCTCTTTGAAGTCCCCAAAGAGTCTGCTATTAAAAACAATAAAGGTAAAGGAGATCTCATAGAACCATTCTCCCCAGCAGCTTGGTGACATATAAAAAAATCCATTAATTAAAATATGTATGAGGACATCATAGAAACTAGAAAAAAATTAGCTACAAGGATATTCAATTCATCTTTGTTTATGAAGATAAAAATGGTTGGGGCCAGCAGGTGGCATGGTGGTTAGGGGTGCTGGACTCTCACGTGGCCGATCATGGTTTGAGTCCCGGACCTGGCGACTTGCTTTCATACTTTCTCTCTCTCTCTGTCACTTTCTGGTCAACTTAAAATAAATAAATAAACAAAGAAAGAAAGAAAAATGGCAACAGCCTAAATGCCCTATATTAGGGAAATAATCAAGCCATTAAGAAGTACATTATGATGGGACCAGCAGTTGGTGTAATGGCTATGTCACTGGATTCCCATGTAGTCGACTGCAGTTTGAGTCCTGGACCTGGTGGCTTAAACTTATGCCAGGTGCTTGTGTGTGCATGCCCAAAATCCCAAGAGGAGAATGGAGGAAAAAGGATTGTGGCGTGGCCATCCCCCGCTCGGGGGTGACTTCTCGCTTTCTGTCTCTCTGTCTTTCTGGCGAGTGCATGCACCCTATAGCAAAAACCTCTCAAAACAAAACAAAACAAAACAAAAAAGAAGTGCATTATGGGACCAGTAGATAGCATATGGTTATGTCGCTGGACTCCCATGTAGCTGACAATGGTTGGAGTCCCAAACCCAGCAGCTTAAAACTCATGCTGTGTATGTGTGCATATGTGCCCAAAATCCCAAAAGGAGACTGGAGGAGAATGAATTATAGCGTGGTCATCCCCCTGGGGGGGTGATTCTCACTTTCTGACTCTCTGTCTCTGTGTCTTTCCGGCAAGTGCACACACTCTATAGCAAAAATATCTCTCTAAAAAATAGAAGAAGGAGAAGGAGAAGAAGAAGAAATACATTATCAGGCTAGCAGGTAGCATGGTAGTTAAGGTGCTGGACTCCCACATAGCCAACTGCAGTTTGAATCCTGGACCTGACAGCTTGTTTTTTCACTTTCTCCCTTTCTTTCTCTCTCTGGTAAGTGCATGTGCCCTAAATTTTAAAAACTAACATAATAATAATAAATAAAATTAATTATTTTTTAAAAAGTATGTTGTAGATGTATGTTTATTAATATAACCATATTTTATACATTTTAGTTAAGAGAAAAATAGTTTATAAAATAAAAGGTGGGGCCAGCAGATAGCATGGAGGTTAAGAAAGCTAGATTCCCTTGGGGACCAGCAGGTGGCATGATGGTTAAAGCACTGGACACTCCCACATGGCCAACCATGGTTCAAGTCCTGGACCTGGTGGCTTACTAACTCACTTTCTCTCTCTCTCTCTGGTCAAATGAAAATAAATGAAAGAAAAAATAAAATTAAAATAAAATAATTATTTAAAAGAAAGAAAAAAAAATAGAAAGCTGGATCCCTGGAACCAGTAGTTGGCATAATGGCTATGTCGCTGGACTCCCATGTAGTCGACTGTGGTTTGAGTCCCAGACCCAGCAGCTTAAACTCACTCTGGGCACGTATACGTGCGTGCTCAAGATCCCAAGAGAAGAATGGAGGAGAAGGGATTGTGGTGTGGCCATCCCCCTTGGGGGATGATTTCTCGCTTTTTGTCTCTCTGTCTTTTTGGCATGCGCCCTATAGCAGAAACTTCTTAAAAAAAAAAAAAAAAGGAAGGAAGAAGAAAAAAAGGAAGAAAGGAAGCAGGATCTCACATGGCTGACTGCATGATTTTGGTTCCAGACCTGGTGGCTTGAAAGACCTGCCAGATGTGCATTTGTGCATGACCAAAATCCTGAGAGGAAAATGGGGGAGAAGGGATTATAACACGGCCACCCTCCACTCCCGGAAGGTGCTTTCTCACTTGCCCTCTCTCTTTGTCTCTCTCTCTCTTATGAATGCATGCATCCTATAGCAAAACAATAAAACAAAACAATGTATAGCACCAATAATAACAATTATGGTGGGACATCTAGAGCTTTGACTCAGAGCACTGAAACGTAAAAAGTGAGCACAATCAAAATACTGATTTTTAACAGCTGAGCAATTTGATTGAATTGTTGCTATACAGCTATACAATTTTGTGTCTATTTGTCCTTAAATATAACCATTTTGTAAACATATGCCCATGTGACTATGGTGTCTCCATAGTTAACATCTGAAAGTTTTCAGCAACTGAGTCAGGTAGATCTGTGTGTCTTGCTTGTTGCTGGATCCCCAAAGCCTAGCACAGTGCTCAACACAGGTAGGTGCATCGCACACATTTGTTGATTGAATGTATGTGTCAGTACTGTTTTATAACTTCTCAATTTTTCTTTCACCTTGAAAGCCTGTGCATTCCTTCCATTCTCAGCTTCTTCAAAAACAGTAGGAAAAGCTCTTTATCATAAAAACATTACTATAATCAACCTACTTTTCTTACCCTTCTCAGAGAATGACCACCCAAGGGATGGCCTCAGAAGAGCGGATTTCCCAGTTTGATTATGATTTGCTCCCACAATTGTCTGCTCTTTTGGGCCTCGATGCAGTAGAATTTGCAAAACAGATGGAAGAAGATGAGCAGAAGGACCGAGAACAAATGCAGAAAGGCTTTAATTCACAGATGCGCAGTGAAGTGAAAAGGTTGAAGACTTTCTTAACCTATAAGCCGTTCAGCTCGTGGACACCACAGGAGATGGCAGCAGCTGGGTTTTATTTCACCGGGGTAAAATCTGGGGTTCAGTGCTTCTGCTGTAGCTTAATCCTCTTTGGTACCAGCCTCAGCAGACTCCCCATTGAAGACCACAAGAAGTTCCGCCCAGATTGTGAGTTCCTCTCGAGCAAAGATGTTGGGAACATTGCCAAGTATGATGTAAAGGTGAAGCACCCGGAGCACACGTTCAGACGGGACCAAGGAAGCTACCAAGAAGAGAAGGCCAGACTTGACTCCTTCAAGAACTGGCCATTCTATGCCCAAGGGACATCCCCACAAGCACTGTCAGCTGCTGGCTTTATCTTTACAGGTAACTTGAAATCATTTCCCCAAATATTTTTCTAGAATTTTTTTAAGTTCCATATTTCAGTTGTTTTGGCAATATTTTGTGAGTTTTTCCTCACTGGTTAAATTTATTACATTAAGTATAAGGAGTATAAGGTCTATTTTATTAAAATTTAACTTCAGGGCTGGGCCTGTAGTGCAGGAGCTAAGCTCTGTGCATTAGGAGCAAGATTCCACACGGCTCAAAGTTTAAATCCCAGCCCCAGCAGCTTAGAAAACACGCAAGGTACACATGTGTGTATGCCAAAAATCTTGACAGGATAGAGAAGTATAGGAAGAAGGGATCATGGTGTGACCACACCCCGTTGGTGTGATGCTCTTTCTTTCTCTGGGAAGTACACGCACCCTCTGGCAATTAAAAAAATAATAATACAATTCAACATCAGTAATTTTACTTTATTTTACATTTAACACAGCATTTGTTAGTTGACCAAATATATATAAAATGAGAGTTACTTTTCTTTTTCATTAAAAAAAATTATTATTTATTTAATTTTATTTATTTATTCAGTTATTTTAATTTAATGAGAGAGAGAGAGAGACAAAGGAAGCCGCCAGGTTCAGGAGTCGAACCATGGTCGGCCATGTGGGAGTGTCCAGCACCTTAACCACCACCCCACCTGCTGGTCCCTTTTCTTTTTCATTTTTGAGAGGTTTTTGCTATAGGGAGCGTGTGCTCACCAGAAAGACAGAGAGAGACATGGAGACAGAAAGCGAGAAATCATCCCCTTAGGGGATGGCCACACTGCAATCCCTTCTCCTCTATTCTCCTCTCAGGATCTTGGGCACACATGCACACATGCCCAGCATAAGCTTAAGCCACCGGGTCCAGGACTCCAACCGTGGTCGACTACATGGGAGTCCCGTGAAATAGCCATTATGCCAACTGCTGGTTCCAAGACAATTACTTTTCTTATTTTGAACTTTAGAAAATTTGAACCTTGGAAAATATTGGCTATATTCTTTTTTTTTTCTTTATTCACGTTAGAGCCTGTGTGCACACATGTAAAAATGAAAGAGAAAGAGAGATAGAGGGAACCAGCAGTTAGCGTAATTCCTCCATGATGGCCATGTGGGATAAGGCTTCTTTTTTTTTTTTTTTTTTTTTTTTTTGGGGAGGGTTTTGGTTTTGGTTTTTGGGCGTCG